AAGGGTTCTGAGGCATTGGAAGGGGTTGCCCAGGGCAGTGGTGGAGTCCCCATCCCTGGAGGGATTGAAGAGTGGTGTAGACATAGTGCTGAGGGACATGGGTTAGTCATAGGGGACTGGTCAGTGTTGGGTTCATGGTTGGACTTGATGAGCTTAAAGGGCTTTTCCAGTCCAGGCAGTTCTGGGATGCTGTGAAATGCCCATTCATCCCCAAACTGCTGCACCTTCCTCAAAACCAACACGGAGTCTGGGGCAGAGTCTCCTGGCTGGGGGCAGGAGCACCTCTGGACCCCAGTCCTGGGGCACGGCTGCTGCCCCAACCCCACAGCATTGCTTCCACCTCTTCCCACTCCACTCCCAGTTTGAAACTGGAGTTTGCTCCAGATCCATTTTTTATTTAGTTCATGACAAATGACTGCAAGGGAATTATTTTTCTTTTTTTTTTCTTTTTTTTTTTTTTCAGCTGCATCTGCTGAGATTCAGGTGTCAAAGTTTCAAGCCCATCTCAAATCTTTCCAGCTCAGAGCAATTAGCTCTGGCACACTGTGAAGAAAAGCCAACACCAAGTTTTAACACCCTTAAAAAGTGAGAGAACTTGGGTGATAACGAGTTCTTCAACCTTGCAGCTAGAATGACATTCCTGGATGTATTTAAATAGGTTCAATTAGTGTGAAATACGACAGAGTGCTTTACCTTTCCTCTTGGCTTGAGCTACCACATCTGCTGCGCCTCTGCTCATTATCTTGGTGACGTAGAGGGGGCAGTTGGCCTGTTTCGCGATGGTGATGGCACGGTACACCGCCTCTGCTTCCACCTGCCAACACCAGAACGGGGACAGAACACACCTCAGGGCAGCTCCGCTACGGCCGGACCCGCGGGGGGGTCTGCTGATGGGCTGGAGACGTTACCTCCTCGGGGCGGCTGAGGACGTGTCCCTCCGGCCCGGTGACCCCCAGCTCCAGCAGCCTCTTCTGCTCCTAGATGGATGAAGATGGATGGAAGAGCAGTCAGTGAGAAGGAACAGCCTGTCAGGAGCAACGCAGGGGACAAAACACCTTTTCAGAAGCACCTGAAGGGTGGTGGGAATGCATGAGCATGGCCAGGTGATACCATTTATACCTGTGGCTCTCCAGCAGCTGTTGCACCTCCTACCCAGTAGACCTATCTCAGGCTGTGGAGTCAGTCTGGCTTGGGCACCGAGAGGGATGGTGCCTTTGGACTGTCCCCTCTTGCCAAACCCAGCTGTATTTCAGGAGGATGTGGGATTTTAAACCCATCACCCCCTACACTAAGGCTGTGCTCCAGGTGATGCCTGGTCACAGGGAAGCAGAGATGTTTCCCCTGGATCCAAGATGTCCTGAAGCTGCTCTGAGGAGCCCACAGAGGTGGGTCCTTCAGGGGAGCACCTGCTCCCCCAAAGAGTGACGCTCTCAGCCCCACTGTCACAGCCTCATGTCACCATGGGCAGGAACCCAGTCCCTGTGTCACTATGGGCGTTACACCAGTCCCTGCAGGGACCCCACGGGGATGGAGCTGGAACAAGCTCTGGGCTGCTGCTGGTCACTGATGTTGTCTGTGCGGGTAGGTGCCCAGCAGACCCCTCGCCCGCTTCCCTTCTGGGATGTTCTGTACCAGGGACCGCTCCTGCTGCAGGGGCTGCAAGGACATTGCTCAACGCCACGGACCAGCCCTCGAGGGCTTTAAAGGATCCCGCTCTTAGAGGATGTTGATGGCTCCATCCACTGTATTCCTGTTGCAGATACCCTCCGAGTTTGTCCCCAGGGCTTGAGTGTCATCATGCTGGCAGCTCCTGAAGACACTGAACTTCTCAGGTTCACACTATGTTTCACAGCCAGCCAAAGAAAAGGTTTCTCGGACAAAACCCCAGGGAGGTGGGACTTGGCCTGTCCTGTTTGTTGAAATAAGCCCAGCTGAAGGACTGGGATCCTGCCTTGGTTTTAAACTCTCCTCCCACACCAGACTGAACACTTGTGTGGCCATCAGCTAAAAAGAACTGCAAGTCTAATTCCACCGTGCGTCACCTCACTGCAGGACATACCCAAGATTCTCTTTTCTAAAGGTAAAGAGGAAAAATAATGTAGAAGAGCCACACCAAGGCAGCTCCCGAGAGCTGTTTCTGGAGATAGATATTGCCAAGTGCAATGTCCACCACTGCAAAAGACCCAAACCTCTCTTTTCTCAAGTACTCCAGACTTCTCAACAAGACAGAGAATCTGATAAAGCATCACTTTGGGCAGTCACTCATCCAAAATGTACGTGTCAGGAAGGACTGCACCGTCCTGGTCAAGATTTCCGTGGTGACACCCAAGAGCGTGTGAGGAACCGGAGGGATGCTGCTGATTGTAGCAGGAGCTCCTGATGCTCCTGCACGTTCTTCTGCCTGCAGATGTGGCCAGGGTCTCCTGTCTGCCCTTCTGTCCTGGTTTGGCTGGGACAGAGCTGATTTTCTTCTCAGGAGCTAGAACAGTGCTAGGTTTTGGATTTAGTATGGGATTTGGAGTGGGAAGAATGTTGATAATATACTGATGTTTTTAGTTGTTGCTGGGAAATCAAGGACTTTCCAATTTCCCATGTTTTGCGAGTCTGCAGGTGCAGAAGAAACCGGGGGGAAGGCAGTAGATTAGCAAATCCAATATGGCATTTGGATATGACATGCTATTTCTTATCATGTCATGTTCAGTATATAAATGAGGGTTGGTCAGAAAGCTCCAGGATCTCTTGGGGTCTTTCTCTCTTTGGGGATTGCAGTTTCAGGACTGTCTCTGCTGGCTGGGGACAGGCTGGGCATCGGTCGGTGGGTGGTGAGCAACTGCACTGTGCATCACTCATTTGTATATTCCATTATTGTTATTATCATCATTATTACTATTATTATTTTATTTCAATTATTAAGTTGTTCATATCTCAACCCATGATTTTTCTTGACCACTCTGGTCAACCTGGAATTTAAACAAATGTAAGCACCGTACCTCATCGATGATGTCCCCGTTTTCAGCGTGCACTTGGGCGATGGCCCCCAGGTCTCGAATAATGCCGAATATTTCATACATCTGCCAGGAGACAGGGGGTTGCCCAACATCAGACAATCAGGGTGCAGGCTCAGAGCGCGGGCGATGACTTACGGACGCTGGCTGCAGCGTTACCTGGGCATCGGTGCACTGCAGTTTGTCTTTGTAGGCCATAAAAACCAGGAAGGAGTTCACACCTTGAGAAAAGAAAGTGAAATGTCCCTTTATTGTCCCAGTTGAGAACTCAGTGACCCGGCACGGGCTGAGCTGGTGGTGTTCGAACTGGGGGAGGCGAAGGGCTGAAACAGGAACTGTCCCCATGAGAATGGAACCTCAAAGGTTGGGACCACGAAAGACAATACACCCTGAACTTTGGATGCACCCCAACCAGAAATACCCCAGAGTCCACCTCTGATTTTAGGGATTCTCTGTAACCTGCTCCAAACATGGAATCAACGTCTTGCTGCCATGTCCTCCCCACAGAGGTAGTTTCGATTCATGGTTTATCCCCAGTTTCTTTCTGATAACTGTCTCTGAATCCGGGTACTAGTGCTGTGACTACAAATCACAGCAAAACGAGGCTCTCTGATATCAGAGCACTATTATTTAGTGCAGTTACTGACCCAGAGACAGAGACGTGCAGCACTCTGCGTGCAGCGCTGCGCCCACTCCTCGCTCATCCCTGGGATAAAACACGACTCACGAAGCACTGAGCCAGAGAACTGCCCCTGTATTTCATATGGAGAGAGGCAACAACGAATCCCAAGCTACGACCAAATTACAAACAATCTGTATTTGATGGGATGTACATATGAAAAATACCCGCCATAAGCTCGGAATTGCGGCATTACCTCAGCCACTCCGCATTGAATAGGAAATTCACTGCAAATTTCTATGTTAATTGACCAATTAAGCCCTTGCTTGCAAGGCTGCAAATCACGCTGAAGTCACTTAGCTCTACATTAGCAAATCTGAAAGCAAATGTAGTTCCAACCAGGGAAATAAGCATTAATGAAATGCAGGCATTGCTGCCCCATCGCCTGCTTTCCAGTAAGCCATGTCCCACGGGTCCTGCAGGGTGGGCAGGAATTACGGGCACCAACGACATCTCTATGGGAAGCCTAAAGCTGAGCTTCTGTAAGCCCCATCTTCAATGTTTTCATTTAAATACTTCCCTGTACATCAGGCAGCCCAGATCAAGGTGCCCAATGTTGTTCCAAAACCGATGTTCATGACTGGGCTGTACGTTACCCAGAGGTGAGAACATGTGAACCAGCTGCTAGGTGTGCATATGGTGTCAACATCCCCATCCACACCTCTCTCCCCGATGGCCAGGGATGGGCAGGTCACACCTCAACAGCGAGGCAGCACGGTCCCTGCGCATCCCCCTGTATCATAAAATCATAGAATGGTTTGGGTTGGGAGGGACCTTAAAGCCCATCCAGTTCCAACCCCCCTGCCATCAGCAGGGACACCTTCCACTAGACCAGGATGCTCAAAGCCTCATCCAACCTGGCCGAGAACACTTCCAGGGAGGGGGCAGCACCGGGTACGGCGCAGCAGAGCAGCAAGGGCTGTCACAGCTCATCCCAGGGTGACGTGCTGATGAGGGGGTCCTGTGGGGTCAATGCAGAACATCCCTCTCCCCCTCCTCACCCTTGTCCTTCACCAGGGCTTCCAGCTCCTCCTTCAGGCTGTCGTGCCAGCGAGGGATGTCGATGTGCAGCGCGTAGTCACAGCAGGCCTGGCTGTCAGCGCGTTCCCGCCACTGCTCGTAGGCGGCCAGGAGACTGGTCCCAGCACCCGGGCAGATGTGGTCAACTGGGGAGACACTGCACAGCGTTAGCGGGTGGCCAGGGAAGGGGTGGAGAACACCCGGGGGTGCAGCAGCCACCAACGCTCTTGTGCAAGGCACTGCTGCTCCAAAAATGAGATGTTTTAATCCAAATTCCTTTTTACAGCATTGCTTAATGACAGAGGATAATCAATTTCCCAGATGAAGTGAAACAAATGGAACAAACCAACCCGAAGCTACAGCTGTTGTCGTCCCTTTTCCCCATGCAGCCTGTCTAGCACAGCACCCGAGAGAGGTCAACAGCCAAACCACATCCTTGCACCCCACTGCACAGCTCCCTGGGGCATCTTCCACGCACAGTCACCCACAGCCCACCCGTTCCTGCACTTCACAGAATCACACAGAACTGCCTGGACTGGAAAAGCCCTTTAAGCTCATCGAGTCCAACCATGAACCCAACACTGACAAGTCCCCAACTAACCCATGTCCCTCAGCACTGTGTCTACACGACTCTTCAATCCCTTCCGGGATGGGGACTCCATCACTGCCCTGGGCAACCCCTTCCAATGCCTCAGAACCCTTTCAGCAAAGAAATTCTTCCTCACATCCCATCTCAACTGCCCTGGCCACAACTGGAGCCCATTTCCTCTTGTCCTGTCCCTTGGGCCTTGGTTGAACAGACCCACCCCCACCTCTCTCCACCCTCCTCCAAGGGACTTGGACAGAGCCACAAGGTCTCCCCTCAGCCTCCTTTTCTCCAGGCTCAACACCCCCAGTTCCCTCAGCCACAAGGGAACTCAGCACACTTGTGCTCCAGACCCTTCCCCAGCTCCGTTCCCTTCTCTGGACACGCTCCAGCACCTCCATGTCCTTCTTGCCTCTGTCCCTGTTCCCTACGGTGCTGGCTATGAGGTCGGCACAGATCTATGCCAGGACCTGCAGAGACTGGTCCTCCAGGTCAGTACTACAGCGGGGCTTGGGACCAGAACAAAAGCAAAACAGAAATCAAAATTATTTTACATTAACACAAAAATTGAACCCATGCTCACAGAGCTGAAAAACTCTTATAAAAACACAGCTGCAAAGCTATTAAAAACATATTAAAAGGTGTTTAAACCTTTCTTCTCTTTTATTCTCTTGGAGGTGAAGCAGGAGCAGCCATGTATTTTTAATATACGTGGGTAGCAACGGAAGGAGGTTCTGAAAAATACATAACTCATTTTAATCAGCCTTGTAACACTTCGATCCCCACAGCAAAAATGAACGTTTCTGTGCTACGAGGGTAAATAACCTTTGCAATGATAACAAAAGGCCCAACGTATTTTGCTAAACAATGTTCTACTTGGCAGTCAGATGGAACGCTGCTCCGTCTTACTGATCATTGTGGTGCCTCCTGCCAGGGCTGCCTTGGTCCCTTGGAAGAAGTCATCAGCAGGGGCCATCCCCAGGACGGGCATCTGCAGCCTGGTGTGGACATCTATCCCCCCAGGCACCACTAGCTGTCCACAGGCATCGATCGTCTTCACATCACCAGGAACAAGCAGGTTTTCTCCAATTTGTCTGAAATCAATATTAAGATCTCCTGTTAATTGGCAACACCATCCTGTTAACTGACTGGGTTCCTCACCCATCTCCTGCACATCGTACCAGGAGCACGGGCCACCAGCACTGCCCACACCTTCCCAGCCAGGAGGGAACACTAAGGTAGCTCTTTCCTGACACCACCACCAAGAGCTGCCCTTGATTTTCAAAAAGGGAACGTATTTCCAAGAGAAAAATGTGGGAAAGGAACTTTGTTCGGATTCCATGGCACTGTATCAAGCTTAGAAATGACATGACCAAATATAAATGTTTAACTTACTGTATTAAACCATCTTCCACGTAAATGTCTGCATAAAATGATTGATCATCGTTGACAATTTTTCCTCCTTTGATTAGAAGCCGGTCACTCTAATGGAAAACAAAACAAAACATTATTTTTTAAGACAACTTTATTTAGATGCTACTTTACTCACTCTGAGCTTTCATTAAGTCTAGGATGTGATATTTCACCCTTCAATCATGTAAGTTTAGTGACTATCCAAACTATTCTACACCAAAGCCCAACTGCATTTTGCAAAGGAAACCACAGACAATTGTCACTTGAGAGGAGGGAACACAGCTCTCCCCTGAAGCGTGTACAAGGCAGCACGGCTGAGCCCGACATCTCTGGGTACCAGAGCATCCCCGTGTCAGGAGAGCCCTGCAGCTGCTGGAAGGAATGTCCCCAGCCCTGCCTGCTCCTGCCCCAAGGGATACACACCACTGCCCTGGGGGGGACACACACCACCGCCCCGGGGGGGGACACATGCCACCGCCCCAGGGGGACCTTTCCGAGCAGGGTCAGACTGACCCAAGTTCTCATCGGTTTTTATCGGTTTGCAAGGCACATCCTGCAGCTCAGCCCGGGACCTGCCTCCTCCATCGCCTCTGGTTACAGAGACTTCTATGTGCATCTTGTGAACCTGGTAATTTACTGATGTTTGTTAGTTTCCACAGTGTGTGAGGCAGATGACGCCTCGAGGACTTTCCTCACTTCAAAGCAAGACGCTGGTGCAGCTGTCAGATTTGCAGAATCTTTAACCAGAAAAATTAGAAAGCAGCAGTGTTTATGGAAATGTGGAACTGTGGCCTAATTTAAGAAGCTTCCTTTCCTGCCCTCTGCTGTGGCGAGAAAAATTGTTACGGAAGCAAGACAAAGAGTACAGGTCAGCACCAAAACAACCACGGGATGTGAGTGCACGTGGCAACACAGCCCAGGAGATGATTTACAACACAGCAACGTGTGCTGATGGCAAACAGCCTGGAAAGCATTCCGGGGCTTGTTTTAAATCACTTCAGTGGCATATATA